TTTCACCCACTTGATCTGTAGTGAGGTTTCCGTAACTGCTCTGACTTCGTCAAAAGATGTCTGAGGCATTTTGATTCCTCAGTCAAGCATTTTAGTTCTGCAGTCTTGTCTGCACCCAGAATCTGCCTAACATCCTGAGAGGTGCACCAGGGCAGGTGGTGCTGGCAGACACCGAGCCAGGCACTGGCTGTTTTAACCACATTGCCTGTCACTGCTCAAGACAGATAAAAAAAAAATCACAATACTGAAAACACCATCTGCCATGGGAATTTTGTCCCCATAATGAGGTATATGAGGGAAATGCCTATTGAAGAGACTGTCTGTGAATGCAGATCCTCTCCCTCTGTTAGGTGTGAGTATGAAGAGAAGATTCCTCCCTTTATTTCATGCAACTAAAGCAGTGGGAAAAAAAGTTTGTTGAAAGTTAAGAAAAGACCTTGTTATCTGAGATTCAACTGGAAGGGACTGAATTCTGCAGTTAAAGCCAGGAGATGCTGAGCAGGTGCTGTGTTTCACAAAGACCTCAGCTCATATTTCATTTAAACATACACTTTATCTTCAGTTCAGGGCTACTTGAATCTTGCCAAGGCTGTTGAACATGTTTGAGGGATTGCAGGAAGGGCTGCCCACAGCTGCGGAGGAGGTGGCCATGCAGTCAGATGAATGACCCTAGAAAAGGGAGAAGGCCATTCCAACAGAAACTGGTGCTGTGTGAGCCCCTCTTGTGACCCTATAGGTCCATCTTACCCATTTAGGTTAGTGACTTGAGTAGTTTTCTAGGACACTCAGCTCTAGGTACTGGCCTAGATTGACACGTAACAATATTTTTAGTCCCCCCAAACCAAAGGTGAGTAATCTTTTTCCTATGTGATCAGGATTTTTCCATTCACTGGATAGTGTGAAGGTACCACTTAATACAGCACGATATGTACCAGCATCAATACATATGTATGCTTTCATTATAAACTGACTGTTGGTGTTTGAAGGATTTACACAAGTAAATACAGCAGTGGAGTTTGAAAGATGGAGTTTGACAAGCCCCATGAAGAGCTAAGTGCTAGTGCACACTAAGTGCTTACCTCAACACTGCAGTTATAATTTCCTCAGAGAAAAACTCTGCCCTAGAGAAGAGGCTTGCTCTACCCCTGCTGCACTCAGTAGATCTTTGGCTGTTGGAACTGACAAAAACATTAAGATAATAACACTGATAATTTGGAGATTCAGCTTAAATTTACAACAATCATCTCTCAGATTTCCAGAAGCTGCTTCAATGATGAAGCAGAAATTTCTCAGGTCATCTGAAAGAAAGGCTGATGTGGATTAGAGCAGGTACAGATAGTCATAACAGTGAGCTAAAACAAACCAGATGCAAGGCAAGCAAACAGACAAAAGGTAAGACTGTATTTTTCATGTGAGCCCACAGAGGCTTGTTTAGCAGTTTTACTCCATGCCAAATAGCTCACTGCACCTCTAAAAAATTGCTTTACTCTAAAAAAAGTAATCTGAAAGATCCCTGGACTGCAGTCAACTTAATATCACACATATCTGCACCTTCAAAGCATTCTTTTTGGCTCAGCATAGCAACAGAAGCATAACTATTAGTGGTTATTTCAGCCTTGAGGTAATTGGATGCCCCACTACCCCACCCACTAAGCAAATAAATTGACTTTGATGTCCCTTTAATATGTCACAGAACAGAAAAATAAAGGCCTTATATTTAATGGTGTGAGATTATTCTAAAGATTAACATTTTCAAATGGATACTAAACATGAAAATAGTATTTGTAGTCCATTCTTTCAGGTTCTTGCTATACTTGAAATATAGCATCTCCGATGATAGAGCTGACTTGTCAAGGCATTTCCTTAAAATAGGGAATTTTTTTATTATAGCCAGTTATTGCAAAGATACTCACTGAAATGAACTTGATCATGGTGGCCATCAACCTTGCAAAGCTGAAACCCAAATCACTGTTCAACATCTATGGAATTATATGAGAGGCAGGGAGTTATAATCCATTGGACCTGGGTACGTCATAGAACCACAGAATAATTTCAGTTGGAAAAGACCTTTAAAATCAAGTCCAACTATTAACCTAACATTACCAAGTTCACTACTAAACCATGTCCCTAAGCATCTCTTCTACAGGTCTTTTAAATACCTCCAGAGATGGTGACTCTACCACCATCCTGGGCAGCATGTTCCAGTGCTTGACAACATTTTCAATGAAGATGTCTTTCCTAATATCCAGCCTAAACCTCTGCTGGTTCAACTTGATTCTTCTTTCACATACCTAGAGATGTCAGTTATATTTTAAAGTTGAAGAATGAAAACTGTACCACAGCACTTGTTTTAGTCTATATTTCCTTTGTTTATTCTTAAGATTACTCGGATCATGTATGTACTGGAAAAGACTTATTCAAAGAACTCATTTAAATAAAGATCAACTGCAAATTGTACCAATGATTTTGTACAGACATATATATGTACATAGACATGAAAAATAGAAAACAAAGAGGAAAATTTCCACTTGATAAATTTCAAAAATATTAAGATTTGGAAAACATTAAGACATCTGGGTGTACATCACATGTAAACCATTTTGTGGTAAAACCAGAAGTGATGAATTGCACATTCGCTGATATCAGCTACAGGATAATGAAATCAGCTCTTTCTGTTTCGTTATTATAGCTGATACTTCAAATAGGCTTTGGTTAAAAAAACACAAGCATAGAAACCCCATTCATGGCTTAAAAACATTTGTGTATGGAACAAAAACAGAAACAGCATGTGGATTTAAATGAGCTACAAAAAAAAAAAATCTTAGCAGAAGCAGAATTGTAATACAGTTATCATTGATCACCTTAATACCAAAGACAACTAGCTGCATTTCGCATCTATTAATATTAATGACATGATAAAAAATCCTTCAGCTTTAAGGTTGTGTAGCCCTGGAGTTCCAGAGCCAAGATTATATATTATATCATTTGCATACAATTATATTCCTTAGATAGTCATATTGCTCAAAACCAAATGCTGACATTTTCAGTATTTATGCACAGCTCTTGACCCATCTTTCATGTAAAGTTCCATGCCAGGGAAAACCTTACTCATAAATTCAGGGACATTTACTGTAAGCACAGTAGCAGCTATTATAGAGGAACAGAGATAATCACACTGCTTCACTAAACGTAACGGCATTGTCTAAATCAGGAGCTTTGTCAATATAGTGAAATTATAAATTTCACTAATTATAAATCTCCTAAATTAGATACACCAGATCCTCTTTTTGAGGATCTTCCTATCATCTAGAGAAGCCAGACTCCATATTGCATGACAATTCCCATCTTTACATAACTTATATGAAGGAGCAAGGATTCACAAAACTTTAGCTAAGGATCTAGACTACATTGAGTTTAAACATCTTTGGTAAATCCTAAGTGTGGTGTCATGAATTTGTAGTGCTGCTTCTACATATGGCAGCTCCTCTGCGTCATACAAAAGCAAATAAGATGTTGATTAGTTCTGTGCTATAATTTGGTTATTCTCTGAAATTTCTCAGCTTCCTTTCCCAAAGGCAGTAGAAGCTAGTGGAGGATTGTATGTAAAATTGTGAAGGGGGAAGCATGCCACAGAGCTTGGCAGATGCTTTGTTAGACTCCTACTTACCTGGTTCTGACTCCTGACTCTAGTGTATGGTGCGAGAGAGTGGTGCCATGATTGCCTGCTCCATGAGAGGATCTGTTACTGGATAATTTGTGGGAGAATGGTCTTATGGAGTGCCATTAATCCCATTAATCACAAATGGGCGATGCTTTGTTTCCCATCAGGGCACCACAACTGTGAATGTCTGTGCTGTCTGTGGGGCAGAGGATCAGCAGACAGCTCCCCCCATGTGGTGGTAAAGCCTCTCTCTGGGGTTTCACCCAGAGCAGGTCTGCAAACATGAAACTGGTTCACAGAGAAGTTCTTGTCCCTACTAACCACGAGATGCAAACAGTATATTCTGCTCACATCACATCACATAGTCAGGACAGATTAAAAACCAGATCCCAAAGTTCTTAGATGTGCTTGCAAAGGGGATTTTTGTTTTGGTTTTGGTATTGGCTTCACACATTAGTAAGTATATTACAAAAGAAACCCCAACAACATTAAAGAAATGGCACTTCCATTTGTGAACAATACTTGCTTGGTTTACAGACCAAGGTAGACACCGAGGCACATGTCTAAGCCATCTCCCTGCACATGGCTATTCTCCTAAATTTGGACCATAAATGAGATTAACATATTCATTATATGTACTGTTACATTGAGACAGTTAGAATCAGTCTCAAATCTAAGTAATCTATCTCTATATCAGCTTTAGAACATGCAAAAAATAGAGTAGACATCTATTCCTTCTAAGGCACAAAGGAGGGGTGTGTTTTCACTAGAAACACGAGTTCAAAACTTGGCATCATCGGTAAAATACTAATAGATGTTTTCAAATTGCATAAACTGTTTCTAAATAGAAAATATTTGATATTGAAGAACTCATCCACACAAGATAAAACACTTTAAAATGGAATGTAGCCAGTTTCTAAATACATTAAAATATTACAGTGTCTCTATAAATAAAAAACTAGATAGTGCTGAAGAGCTAAAGCAGTCCTTTACAAATCATTCAAGTGGATATATTTCTCTCTTTTCACTATCATTAATGCACAGTTGCTTGAGCTACAGCTGTTCAAGCCTTTGGCAATAATAGTTCAAGTAACTTCTCCTCTCCTTTGCAACCCTCCATCTTCTATTCTGACACCACAGAGTTGCCAGAGGGTGTATCTTGATTTCATGATGTTTTAGGAAAAATGCCACATCCCAAACCCTCTTGGTGTGTGAGCAGCCAGTCAGGGAAGCATGCAATAAATTCACCATGGTCCTTCAATTGTCACTCAGGTAGTGGCACATCTCTAGTCCCGGCTCTATATCCAAGAGAACTATGTGCTGACAAGCTCTCTCCTACTTGCACAGATCCTGCTGAGAAGGATTTCAGAATAAACTTGATTTATTGGACCTCGGACACGATATGGGGACTGAGAATTTGTTGCATAGTCCTGCAGTTGTGATCGCTTGCTTTGGCTGCCGAAATACTTCCCCAGTGTATAGTGCCTTGATAATGTCATTGCTATGTGTGGTCTTTCTTCAGAGGGATTGGATTTCACCACCTGCAAGAGAAATGACATATGTGAGTGCTCTCTGCCTGCACCTAGAGAGCTGTGTGTACAGAAATGCTGAGATCCTTCTCCAAAAAGCAGTTTCTGATACCCTTACATTGAGCTGCACGTTGCTCACAAACAGTATCCTGGTGGGCTAACTTGTAATGTTTCATGCTAATTGAAGTGCAAGATCTTATTCACTTAAGCCTTGAAATCTAAATGTATAGGCCCATTATCCTCGCTGGATTCTGTAATGCCTTTGTACATGAGACTCTGTTCTCTTTATTAGAGACAATTTATCTGAACAAAATTCATGCTTAGCAGCTTATATACTTAACATGGGAAAAAATAAAGTCAGGACAACCCTGACTTGCAGGAAGGTTTAAATCCTGCTCTGATACCAGGCACTTGAGGAACATATGCTGTGTCCCAGCTGTGAGCCCTGTGAGAAGGTCTCACTCTCAAGTCTTGATGCAAACCTGGCCCAGCTCCATGTTGAGATGTAAACACTCATGTGTCATGTTTCTCCAAGAAGGGAGTTATGATGCAATTCAACATCCCTCTTCAAGGGGTATCACACTGCCATAACCACAGTGTGGTTCAGTAACTTAGCACAGAATAATGCTCTTCCTTGGCCCTTCAAATATGTAGAAAGATCTGGGATTATCATGTTCAAATAAACAAATGCCAATGGGACTAACAAGAGAGAAAGTGAAAGTTATGGTTGTCAGGACTGGGCGGGGTGGTCTCCTGTGAGATGCTAAAAGTCTTGTCTCAGTGAACATACGGTCACTGATGAGTTATGAGGCAACTTGAAGAGAGACAAAATTTCAGAACCTTGCACAGATGCAGGACAGTGGACCCCATTCCAGGCACTGGCAAATCCAGAGAAAGCCAAAAAGGCGCCAAATGCTTAACCTCTTTTTAAAAGACTAAATATATACTGACTTGATAGCTCTGAAGCCCATCAATTTTCCTTTCATATCAATCACAGCAAGACATTTGAAAAAAATTACTTTGTTTATTAATGGATATACTTATGCAGAAGCATATTAGCTTTTTTTAATAAATACATATATTTACTGTCACTGAACAATCAGAAACGATGGTCATATTTAGTGAAGTTCATAATAAATGAAACAACTCATGCAAAATTAAGTGCAAGTGAAGGAATAATATGTGCAAATGCTTGAAAGACTGGGCAGAAAGTCTATGAGGGAGATGGCTGAACTAAAAAAAGACCAGGAATTATCCATGTAGAAAATTAATATATCCTCTGATCAATTTGATACAGCTAAGCTGAGGGCTGTTATTTGTTTTCACGCAATTACTGCAGGTTCATTTTTCTAAATTAGAGCCTTAGATCTTACAACAATTTCAAAACGATGCCACCTTGAACCAGTCACCCAAACTGCATTCCTGTTAGACATAATCTCCCAGGAATGTAATCTAATGTTCATCCAGCAGTCAGCCACTGATTAAAATACCAAAATCCCAAGGTTGCTAGTTTTTGTGTTATGATCATGATTTCATTGCCATTAAATCACGAAATAGTTCTGAATAAAAAATAAGTTCCATAAAGGTCCTTATAACTGCTGGCTAATCAACTCGCCCATAAGCATTTGTGAAGAATGAAGTAATTAAAAAATCAGGTTTGCATGTGAGCGTAGAACTAGGAGTATGTTTGGGCAGAAAGTGACAGAGAGATTTTTTTTTGTCCCAGGTTGATATAATCCATTTGTGAGTCCAGATCCCTCATCAATCTGAGCAAAGACTGCAAGGTCTACAGAGCTGCAGACTTTGCTATCAGACTGAGCCGAGTCCCTCTGAAGTGGGTTAGTGGGAACTCAAATAATTTATCAGGACAATCAGGGAAATAACTTTCTGTTTGCCCAGCTTGTGAGAACTAAATGAGAACTACTGAATGCATTTCAGTCTTGTTTTCATAGTAGGGCCAGCCCTCTGCTGCTGCACAGCTGTGCTTTTAGCTCGGATGGCATTTACAGAGGGGTGCCATCTTCTGGGAGTTTGGGAGGTCATTTTTTAAGAGAAAGTGAAAGTGCAAAGCTGTAGATTTAATCTATCTCATCTGATTTCATAAAACATGAAAAGTGCTGGCATTTTACACAGTGTTCTTGGCTCCATCCTTGGAGGCAAAATGCCATTTTCCTAGTGCAAACTGCTTCAGCACCTGATGAAAATCTTCTTGCCAGGATGCAGAAATAAACTGATGACAAAACTGTTAAAACTAACGAGGTATCAAAAGCATTCAAGGACTTTTCTGTTTGCTTTACTGACAGATCAAGTCTGGTTTTTGCTGGCTGGTGTATTCTCCTGGACACATCTATGCCTCTTTTAGGCACAACGACCTCTCAAGCCTCATTAATAACAGCTACATGAGCCAAATTCTCCCCTTATCCTCCCCAGAAACACATACTCTCTGTTGGAATTCCTCCGGCACAGAAGCAAGGCCAAATAGGCATGTGAGCTCATACAAAATGATGGAGGAGTGCATGAAAAATGCTGATGACTGATCATGCCCTGCTGCTTTCCAGCCAGTTTCATAAAAAGCATCTTATGTATTTCACTTTGAGGCTCTCTGTTTCAAAAGCTCTGTGGAAATGGTGATCATCAGCAATGACCCATGAAGACACCAGCATCTGGGTTCTAGATAGAAAAGGGTCAATACAGTCGTCTGGGTGAAATGGAGGGAAGCTTTTACTCCATGGGCCTATTTATCCATCGCATAAATATCTGCTCTGTGACTTACTCCCTCTTTTCCAGCTCCATTTGTACAGAGCTGCATTCATGCCTCTTTTTTCCACCAAGTAAAGGGCTGGTTAACCCACTGTGCCTGCTGTGCGTAATCTCAAAGCCCAACAGATGCCACAGAAATGGGCTGAAAACACATGAACTGCTGAGGAGCCTGAGGTGGAAACCAGCTGTGATGCTGACATAGAGCACATGAGGTCATATGGGTCTGATAACACTCCCAAACCTGTGCTCAGTCCCAGTGAGCCTCATCCTGGAGCAGAGTTCCAGCCTGTGTGATTTTCTCCCCACACTTTTGGGGACGCATTTGTTGTTCAGTAGACTGCCTCTGATACTATATCTCTATCCACAGGTATTTAGGAGAAAATTAGAGGTATTTAGGAGGTATTTAGGAGATATTTAAGGAGATACTAGGAGATATTTAAGGAGGAAAATCAAAGCCTTACAGTTCTTAAATTTGTTCTTTGCTTTATGTAAAGGTGACTGCTGTGGATGAGATAATTAAATATACACTGGCTACAAGAAAATAGTTAGGCTTCCTATGATAGTCCTTGGCCAGCAGCCACCACAAGGATGCTCTGGAGCCTATGCTTGAATTTTACTATCATCACCACTGAATTTCAGTTTGTTTAGTTTAGACTTCTCCAAGGTTTAATTAGCCACAGTATATTTTGTTTTCCAGTGTATATTGTGGGTGTCTGATGAAGGAAACCTTATTTTTAGTTCTCTGATTTTTTTTGGATCCTTAAGGAAAATATATCACAGCTGTCCTGACATTTCTCCACAGCAAAAACAGTGCTTCCACTTCATTCCTAGTGCCATGGCCCATGTTTGTACCTGTGAAGCTCTACAGAGTTTCTGTGCTAACCCTGCACATGTGCAGGTCCTAGGAACTGGCTTAGCCAGGAGTGAGGCTTGCAGAAAAATAGGCATGACTTGGCAAAATAAGCAAAGGGGGTTTATCCTTCTCCTGAGAGATTCAAAAAACATTTGGTGGTCTATCTTATTTGAAGTAATTTGTTTTGACAGAAAACAAATTCCTGAATTCCTGATGGAAAAATGCTAGCATTTCACTTGTGTGGGCAATCGTCTTTTTTAGTATTTATGCACTTTTGATAACTCCAGTGAAAAAAGTTCTAGGATTTTCTCTGTAAGAATTAACTTGTTGAATTCTGTGTTCTAAATGACACATCAATTTGCTTGTGTCATTACTCTAGTCAGCAATCAAACTCTTGAGATTTCTTCCAGCTAGTAACATTTTACTGGCTCAAAGACTCCAGCTGACTGTGAGACACCAAAAATTAACTCTGAGTTTCAAAGAGACATCTTTCATCATGTCCTTTTTTTCCCCTCCAGTTTTAACTTTTCAGTAACAATTTCTTTTCATTCTGTGTTTCATTCTGTGGAAGAACTTGCACCTGTCACCTCTCTTTTGATCACTCAGAGAAAATGCAATCTTTCTGAAAGGTAATGACAGTTCAAGTTTTATGGTCCTAAACAGACTTGAATGGAATAAATTGTGATAGTTTTCTAGTCTTTTGTTAAACAGGCAGTCCAGATTCAGTTCAGAAGAATGAAGAACCTTGTAGCATCATGAGCAATTTCTTGCTGTGATAAACATAATTTCATCTATAGAGGTAACAGGGGATTTCTCTGTCCTTATATTCAGCAACAAATTGAGACATGGGGTTACTGATGTTGTCTAAGTACATGATTCCAGTTTTCAGTGAAGGAATATTTTTTACTGGGAGTCAGGAGCTAAGTACTTGGAAAGATATGAGCCTCCTTTATTGCTCAAAGCTTTACCTGATTTCCAAAAGGAGTAACATAGTATTCATGGGTCTTCCTTAGAGTGATGAATGACGTGATTAGATTCTCAGCAGACTGACCCTAGGAATTGGCTTTTTGTACCAACAAGTTGGTGTCACAGGTACGAGGAAGGACTTGGCTGGAAGCTACAGGAATAGTCTGTTGGCCTTAGTGGCAGTTCTTTAACTATCATATGCAAAATTATGGTCCAATTCTCAGCAGACTGACCACTCGTAACAGGACCCTAGGAACTGGCTTTTTGTACCAACAAGTTGGTGTCACAGGTACGAGGAAGGACTTGGCTGGAAGCTACAGGAATAGTCTGTTGGCCTTAGTGGCAGGTCTTTTACCTTCATATGCAAAATTATGGTCCTCAGCCTTATACGTGATTAGATTCTCAGCAGACTGACCCTAGGAATTGGCTTTTTGTACCAACAAGTTGGTGTCACAGGTACGAGGAAGGACTTGGCTGGAAGCTACAGGAATAGTCTGTTGGCCTTAGTGGCAGTTCTTTAACTATCATATGCAAAATTATGGTCCTCAGCCTTATGGCAGAGGGTACCTGCTTACTTGACTACTCAAAAATCATACTCTCTGTTTTCATTCAGGGCTGCCTGCACTAAACCAAGAGTGTACTTTGTTTGCTATTCACAAGTTACAAGAAATCCAAAACTAAAACAAATCCCTGCTTTGCTGATGGGAAGAGCACTCACTATGAAAAGACACACCACGTACTCAAAATACATGCTAAAAGAAAACAGAAAAATGCTAAACACCACATTTTTAAACTCGTCACTTTCACTGGTTTGGCAGTCTCTGGGCTGATATTGTGTCTAGATATAATAATGTGTTTGCTTATTAATTTTTTTATTTAATCCATGGACTCCTGTCATTTGCAATGTATTGTGACAATTTCTCGCCAGAACTTCAAATGAACAGAAAAATATGTTCTCAATTGCCCTACTCATGTATTTTACTATGTCCCTGCTTCACCAGTCCAACTGTTGTAAAATGGAAGACAGACACTCTATAGAAAAAGCAGAACTATGGACATGAGTAAGAACAAGCAACTTATGCTTCAGTTTGCATAGTCAGTCATCATAACTATCTCAGATAACACTTTCTCAGACATATGAAAGCACATATACAGTAAGATACGTCTTTCAATTTTAAGCTCCCTTTGAAATGTACCTATGGTTTGATGGGAGTCTGCTGCGCTGCTCAGTTAAGAATGCTCCAGGCAAAAAATGTCAGACTGAGATCTCACAGGCAAAAAGGTAAGCTGAGTCCAGGCAGAAGCAGTAGGGATATATATGTAATGCATAGTAAGTGAGGACCTGGAAACCATGCAGTATCCTTTTATACGGGTTACCTTTGTAGAAGAGCATGCTTGTCTTTTATTTCAAGGAATCCCCACTAGAGCAGTGCAGCCCATCCTCGGGCAGCATTGCACTCAGAGCAGCAAGGGAGAAGTGCCACTGTACAAACCATGAGCCCCGCAGGTTTTGTTCAGGACTAACTTGACCCATGGAGGTGAACCTCACTGCATCTCTTTTTGTTTCTATGCATCTGACAGTTAAAATCTCTCTTCATTTACCTGGGAATGATAACTATTACCTCATGGAAATGGCAGCCGCACTTCCCTTGCAGGAATTCTTTGTAACGTCCCATAGTGATGACAAAGGTGTCAACAACTTCATAGCCAAAATTTTTCGCTGTATTCAGAATAATCGAATTTTCATTCCACAAGTTTTGCATTTCTGCCTGCATTCCAGACAAAATATAGCAATGTCTTGTCAGAAGGACTGTTTAAATGTTATTGTATTCTACCATGGAAATGAATAGCAAAGTTGCATTTTGAATAAAGCAATTATTATATACTCCAGACACAAATTACTGCAAATTCACGCTTGAAACCAGATGTTACTCTAAGACTGTTGTGGATTTTTGTAGAAATTATAAACACTTTTCAGTAGTTGTGCACCTTCCTTCATAGGGAGATTTCAGTGCTGTTATAAAATATAATTACTGGGTAACTGGTTTTAATAGGTACTTAGCTAATATGAGATATAATTCAGAAAATAATTCCTATTATAAAGTTCTCTGTAACAAATGGTGAAATTGGTCCTGTAAAGAGAAATTCATCTTCAATTCAGTCTTTGAGTCTGCTGTTTAAAAAGGAGCAGAAATGGTTATACTGAATAACAGATTATTATTTCTCAAGATACTGCAGGAAAGCCAGGAATAGAAAAAAAGGTTAGCCATGAGTTTGTCAGATGGATTTGACACTGTGGGCAGGAGGGCTTTGAGAGGAACTGGGGTAATCCAGAAGTCCAGAGCACCCAAACCACATGGGTAATTTAGCATATGATTTCAATATTGAAAGGGAAAAAAAATGTCAGTTATGCATTGCAATTGATTTCTGGATTTTTATAAATTTACTGGATGAGAAACAGAAAAAAGTATTCCTGAGAAGCCTCTAACACT